CTTTCTGTCACCTTCTCTCCAGACACCACACACAGCGACTCAGTATCGATGCACTTGGAGTTCCTCAGGCACCTCTCCAGCTGTCTGTTCAGCTTCACCGACAGCTCCGACTGTCTGCAGGGACACAAATCCACGGATGATTTTCTGCTCCAGCAGGCCGGCTCCACATTACAGCGTGTAATGAATCAGCGTCGTTAAACAGGAGGGGATGAAAACAAACACACAAGTCGTCCTCACCGGCCTGCTCGAACGATGGCGAGGCCATGGGTGACAGCTCGATGTTGAAGAACAGGATTCCCTCAGTGGGCCGGTTCTCTTTAGGCGCCACCAACTCACACGACACCTGAGCCATGACCCTGAGAAGAGGTCAGAAACAGTTTACTCCTCGTGGACATGCTTGTCGTGTAAATCTGCCCTTATTGGATTCATCCGTCACCCTCAGGAGAAAGGAAACTGCTTTTAATGTTCAGGGACAACCCAGAAACCACCAAGTCTCAACATCAACGTGAGCGGGGCTCTTGCTCCAAACTGAAACCTTTGCTTCCCACACGGGTGCGCCGGATCACTGTGAGGATTTCAGACTAAAGAACTCTGAAGCAACTGTCGTGCACGGCAGAGGTGGTGTCATGTTGTGGTACTGGTGCACGGAACAAAGAGAAACGGGAGGAGAGATGACTGACGGACAGAGACATTTCCATGCTGCTAACTCTTTTCTCTTGGAGGGACAAACCCTTAAAAGCATCTAAAGGTCACAGACAAGGGTCGATTCTAGATTATATTAAAGTGACAATGTGTAGTTTTTACCATTAATCTCTGGAAATATCCATTGAAATGTTGTAAATGAATTAAAAAGTGCCCAGTTGTTGACAAATAGTGGTTGTTTCATAACATGCAGTGGGGCAAAAAAGTATTTAGTCAGCCACCGATTGTGCAAGTTCTCCCACTTAAAATGATGACAGAGGTCAGTAATTTACATCATAGGTGCACTTCAACTGTGAGAGACAGAATGTGGAAAAAAAATCCATGAATTCACATGGCAGGATTTTTAAAGAATTTATTTGTAAATCAGGGTGGAAAATAAGTATTTGGTCACTTCAGACAAGGAAAATCTCTGGCTCTCACAGACCTGTAACGTCTTCTTTAAGAAGCTTTTCTGTCCTCCACTCATTACCTGTATTAATGGCACCTGTTTGAACTCATTATCTGTATAAAAGACACCTGTCCACAGCCTCAAACAGTCAGACTCCAAACTCCACTATGGCCAAGACCAAAGAGCTTTCGAAGGACACCAGGAAAAGAATTGTAGACCTGCACCAGACTGGGAAGAGTGAATCTACAATAGGCAAGCAGCTTGGTGAGAAAAGATCAATTGTGGGAGCAATTATCAGAAAATGGAAGACATACAAGACCACTGATAATCTCCCTCGATCTGGGGCTCCACGCAAGATCTCATCCCGTGGGGTCAAAATGATCATGAGAACGGTGAGCAAGAATCCCAGAACCACACGGGGGGACCTGGTGAATGACCTGCAGAGGGCTGGGACCACAGTAACAAAGGTCACCATCAGTAACACATTACAACGTCAGGGAATCAAATCCTGCAGTGCCAGACGTGTTCCGCTGCTGAAGCCAGTGCATGTCCAGGCCTGTCTGAAGTTTGCCAGAGAGCACATGGATGATACAGCAGAGGATTGGGAGAATGTCATGTGGTCAGATGAAACCAAAGTAGAACTTTTTGGTATAAACTCAACTCGTCGTGTTTGGAGGAAGAAGAATACTGAGTTGCATCCCAAGAACACCATACCTACTGTGAAGCATGGGGGTGGGAACATCATGCTTGGGGCTGTTTTTCTGCTAAGGGGACAGGACGACTGATCCGTGTTAAGGACAGAATGAATGGGGCCATGTTTCGTGAGATTCTGAGCCAAAACCTCCTTCCATCAGTGAGAGCTTTGAAGATGAAACGTGGCTGGGTCTTCCAACACGACAATGATCACAAACACACCGCCCGGGCAACAAAGGAGTGGCTCCGTAAGAAGCATTTGAAAGTCCTGGAGTGGCCTAGCCAGTCTCCAGACCTCAACCCCATAGAAAATCTGTGGAGGGAGTGGAAAGTCCGTGTTGCTCGGCGACAGCCCCAAAACATCACTGCTCTCGAGAAGATCTGCATGGAGGAATGGGCCAAAATACCAGCTACTGTGTGTGCAAACCTGGTAAAGACCTATAGTAATCGTTTGACCTCTGTTATTGCCAACAAAGGTTATGTTACAAAGTATTGAGTTGAATTTTTGTTATTGACCAAATACTTATTTTCCACCCTGATTTACAAATAAATTCTTTAAAAATCCTTCCATGTGAATTCATGGATTTTTTTTCACATTCTGTCTCTCACAGTTGAAGTGTACCTATGATGTAAATTACTGACCTCTGTCATCATTTTAAGTGGGAGAACTTGCACAATCGGTGGCTGACTAAATACTTTTTTGCCCCACTGTATAGCCATAAAAATTGGGTTTAAAATGCATAGGAGTGGGTCTAAGTCTCTGGGTGACACAATATTGGATGCCATGTTTCCTTTTACGGAAGCCCGTGAGGACAGAATGCATTCACTGATTTGTAACTAATAGTTACAAAACTTTCAGCATTAATAAACGTTGTTCTTTTACATGTTTATCTCTTCACTCATTGCAAGGGATGAAAGGGAATCTGATGTTCTTGTTATTTTGATGAAGGTTGCACTCCCAAGGATTTTTGACCCTAACAGTTCCTCGTGTTGATTTTAGAGACAACATGTTAGTCAGTATTAGAATCATTCAGCAGCTTTCATCACATTACCAAACCCCAGAATCACCTGGTTTGCCCCAGATCCACAAAGCAGCATCCATAATCAGTCCCAAAAGTGATTTTCAACTTTCTGTAGTCATAGGTCTGTCGTCCATCGAGCCGCTAAAAGACACGAACAAAAAACAGTAAACAGAACTTTAGCTAGTTTCTTCAAAAACAATAGTTGGAACTTGGAAAATTAAATGACTTAATTTCGGTTACAACGTTTTTATCTTAAACATTTCTGTGACAATTTTGGTGTGAATTCTCACTTCTAAAGATACAATCATGAATAGAAGCACGGATTTTTTTCAGTTTTTCCATTCAACGTTCTGGATGTGGAGGTTGTTTTCTTAGCTACTTTGATGATAAACGTTTTAAAACGCACCTTTTTCTCTTCGATTGCTCTCAGTAAGAAGTCTCGCTCGCAGTTGGAAAGCGGCGTTTCTTTCATGATTGTTGTTATTTGCTGTTTCTGGTGAAAATCAAATTATTCTCAACTGACATGCGGGAACCACCTATTTACGCAATTCGCGCATGCGCGACGAAACAATATACGGCTTTACCGTATGTCGCAAATGAACCCAAATCTTTTTTTTTTCTTTTTTTTTTAGAGAAGATAACATACAAACAAAATGCACCGTACATTATATATTCAAACGATAATCATTACATGCATATTAAACATTTTCACGTATATGAAAAAAAGAAAATCTAAAGATGGGGTCACATAATTAACAGATTATTAACTTACTAACTCAAAATCTTCTACAAAGGAAATAAACAAATCTGCCTTTTTCTTTTTAACTAAATTCAACGATTTAATTAATAATTTTAAGTCGTTTTTCCAATAGGCTAGTGTTGGTTTGGTCTTAAAAATTGACATTTATGTATAAATTGTTTGCACAAAATTAATAACACATTAACACCATAATTAACTTTCTTTTTTTCAAAAACACTCCAAACATTGTCATATTTAAGGTAAATGGGGCAATTTGAATCCCACTAGAACAAAGCCAGGCATGAAAATCTAACCAAAATATTTGTATAAAGTTGCACAAAAAAAATTGATGGTCTAAGTCCTCCTCTTCTGTTTCACAAAATACACAATTACCAGCTTCTATATTGAATCTATCCCCAAGGAGTCTATTTGTTGGGTAAATGTTATTCAAAATTTTAAATAGGACTTCTTTCCCTTTAGGAGCGATATGTGAACCCAAATCTAAATTTGTTTGTAACCAATCATGTGAACTGATGTGGACTAATCTAATGTGTGTGTTGGTCGTTTATTTTATCCGTATATTCATACATGCGATTTTAACTAGACTGATATTCGTTTAAATGATAGAAGTAAGTACAGTGGGGCAAAACGTGGCTGTAAATGAATATTTTGTTCAGTTTGTTGGCTAAACACATAAAGAAATGACACCAATTTTGGATTTTCTTTCATTTAGTCTATTAAGTGTTGCGCTTCGAGTGTAAGCATGATATAAACAGTTGAAGGGACGAAAAGAAAAGGAGCTTCTACGTGATGCTTTCACAGAAACCCCCCGATCTCCAAATCGCCGGTTAATGGGATTTTATTCGGATTCAACGAAAAAGCTTTATTTTCCTCGAACCAGGTTTCAAATAGCATAAATCACAAACAATGAAGTTCGTTGAAGAAATACGGTGCACAAACCGATCAATTTTATGACACATTTTGCACATTCGGAACCTCATACAATTTACAATCAAAAATTAACGAATTGAAGGAAATTAACTGCCATTTTAGTCTGTTTTATATCTAGTTGTTTGGGTGTTTTCCAAATGAACATTTTGTTATTTTGTGTAAATGAGCTTTTAAGGGTTTCAGGTAGGTATCTGGTAGGGGTTGACTTGCTCTTTAAGTAGATTATTTAATATTTTTGCCGTGTCATGCTTTTTGCATTTGGTCTCTCTGATTTCCTTGATTTTGTGAAGCTCATGAACGCATCTTAACCGTTCTCCGTTAGTTCTGAGTGCGCATGCTCAAAGGCCAGCACCGTTATTCTGGCGGAGCCGAGCTGTCATTTACGTTGTCCTCTTCTGCAGATATCCCTTGTTTCTCTCCCCAAACCGTTTGAGACTCACAGTGATAAAGCCGCTCTGGATTTTAACCCAGAAAAGCATTTTTAAAGATTGTTTTTTTCTCCACTGACTAAGAAGAAAGCACAAGGTTTGTGTGTGTGGTCTGAATGAGTCTGGGTGCATCTTTCCCTGTGCGACATCAAGGCTAAGCTAGCAGCTGCTATCCATTCATTTTGAATGATAAAACATTTCCTATTCACGATTTTACGTTGGATTGTAAATTTGCAGCAGCTGATGTCAGCTTCAGTGCATATCCCATTCGTGTGACTTGAATAAAGCTCATTAGTTTAGCCAAAAGCTCTTGTTCTGCTGTTTTAAGCGCGCCATCCTGCTAGTTAGCATTAGCCTCCGAAGCAGGTGCAGCAGAGCGGACACAAGTGTTCATTTCATAGTTTCTGCAGCCCAATGAGCTCCACAGCAAACATGTGACCTCAGTGTTATTCCATTTCATAGTTTCTACACTCGTGCAGCTTTAAACTCACATGGAGACAGTTTAAACAGAAACTAGGTGTGCATGGCTTGTGTTTACTAGAAGATGCATTACTTGAGTATCATGATGGTGATCAAGTGGGTGAAGTAGGAATTGGTTCTTCCACTTTTATCTTTCAGAAAAGCCATTTTATTTTGTTAGGATTATATTTGCATGATGAGAAAAGTCCAGACGAGAGGACTTGGTGTAATAATAAATGTCCTGAGAATAATATTTAGGAATTTAAAATATTTATTGTTGGATATTTGGGAAAATGTCACCAGTTTGTCTTCAGTATTGAAATGAAGGCAGTGATGGATATTTTTGTTGTTTTTTTATTCATCCCCAGAGGGAAACTAGAGTGAAACTATTTCAGCTTCTTTTTTTTTTATTAGACTTTTATTCAAATTTATGAAGCAAATCAAAAATGATTTTGGTGATGACAAAAGTCCTGTTAGGTTTATCTCAGTCTATTTCTTTGTTGTTGGCAAACATCAGTATCAGGTTAAAGATGAAAGTCAGCCAGGAGCACGTTTCCGAGCCTTCTGTGGTGTTGATTCTCATTTCCTGCATCTCTACAAGCCGGATATTTACAGATGATGTGGGCTGATCAATATGTGGTTATTGAAGCTGCTGCTGCTGTCATAGATCTCTGAATTAGAGCCATGTGGCAGATTATCCCTCATGGTGACAAATGTGTGTTAATTCTGTTGCTCTGTTTAGCTGCAGAATCAGAAAGATCAAAAGTAGACGAAGATCTTTAACTGCTTCATGTTTTTTAGAGGATTTAGTGTCACAGCTGGTGAAAATTATCTCTTCTCCTCAGATGAAAGTGGGCGGAGGCTGGGTGTGGCGCCTGCTGCTCCTGTCTTCGCTGACCGTGGCTATTGTGGCCGCTCACGAGAGGGAGCCTGAGCTGGACGTCTCGGACGATGACTCGGGTTTAGACGAGGAGGAACTGAAGGTTCTGATGGCCGAGGATGGTGATGAAGAGGAGGAGGAAGCAACGGTGATGGATGAAGAACCGGCAGAGGAGATTGATGAAGTGGCGACGGATTCTAATGTCACCTTCCAGGTAAAAAAATAAATAAAATGACGTGGAAATTTAAATGTGTGGAATCAAAAGGTGATGGTTTAATCCTGTTGTGGATCCCAGGTGATGTACAAGACTCCGGTTCCGACTGGAGACGTTTACTTCGCTCAGACGTTTGATGATGGATCTCTGGACAGGTACTGACAGATCCACATCAGCTTTTCAGGGTGTCTTTATTTTGTATTTGTGGTTGAAAGGTTAATGTTGACTTCTGCAGATGGCAGCTGTCAAAAACAATGAAGGAAGATGCAGATGAAGAAATTTCCAAATATGACGGTTTGTAGCTGTTCTGATGTTTGTGGACGTTTCAGCTCACCCCGACATCAGTGTGAATCTATGCTTATTTTTAATCCGGCTCATTTTTATTTTTGGCTTTATCTTCTGTGACTTGACCCTCACCTACCCCCCGTAGGGAAGTGGGCTGTGGAGCCACTGAAGTTGAACAAGGTTCCAGGAGACCAGGGCTTGGTCCTGAAGTCCAGAGCCAAACATCACGCCATCTCTGCCATGCTGGACAAACCCTTTGTCTTCAAGGACAACCCTCTGGTGGTTCAGTGAGTGGAAATGAACGCACACACACACACACACACACACACACACACACACACACACACACACACACACAGAAGTAATGAACAGAAACTGTGGACCTGTCTGCATTCTGGTTGCAGGTATGAGGTGAATTTCCAGGACGGGATCGATTGTGGCGGAGCGTACATCAAACTGCTCTCAGATGCTGGAAATCTCAATCTGGTGGGTTTCAGTGAGAAAATGTGCCGCCATGTTGTCTTGTCATGACCTTTGACCTGTTAACGGAAGCCTGTAGAGTAGGGATATTGAATTACAATTCTAATTCTGTAGGACCGGTATAAATCACATTTTAGTGGTTTCTCTGCCCCAAAATCACCTGTGCTGCAGCTCATCGGGCTCTGCAGAAGCCTGTTAATCACCAGCTGATTGAAATCAGGTGTGTTGAGTTCAAACTAAAACCTGCTGGATGCCGGCGCTCCAGAATTGAATGCCCCTGCTGTCGAGTGCCTGCCTCTGTCAGGGGCCAAAGTGGAAGTGATGCTGCAGTTCCCTCCTCATCCTCTAGGGGCTGGCTCCAGAAAGGTGCAGGTTCCCATTGACTCCCGTGTTGAAAATTCCAACTTCTCAGTAGAAATAAACATGTTTACAATAGAGCTGGGTGATAAAACAGTACCAATGCATATTTTGAAATATCGTTTCTTTGATAGATGTTTGAAAACGGGTCGATAGAACTTTGACATAGAACCACGCAACTCAGTAGCAGCCAGACGGATGCGCTGCTAACGGCTAATGTTAAGTAACAGGTGACATAGATGGTAAAAATGGAAAACACGAGCGCCCAGACAGCGGATGATGTTGAAAAGGCGGCGTCATGTTGAATTCTGCTCGTTTCAACGTCAGGAGCAGTTCCACGACCGCACGCCCTACAGCATCATGTTTGGACCCGACAAATGCGGCGAAGACTACAAGCTGCACTTCATCTTCCGACACAAGAATCCTCTGAACAAAGACGTGGAGGAGAAGCACGCCAAGAGGACCGACGTGGATCTGAAGAAGTTCTACACCGACAAGCAAACTCACCTCTACACTCTGGGTTTGTGGCCGACAGCAGAGGACGGTTTGCTTTCTAACCTCCGGGTTCGTCTGACTAGTGTTTGCTGTCAGTCCTGAATCCAGACAACAGCTACGAGATGTTCATCGATCAGTCAAGGGTGAGCCACGGGAACCTGCTGCAGGACGTGGTTCCTCCCGTTAACCCGCCCAAGGAGATCGACGACCCGCACGACTCCAAGCCAGACGACTGGGACGAGAGGGCCAAGATTCCTGACCCGGAGGCAGTAAAGCCGGAGGACTGGTGAGTTTAACGTCTGAATCGGCAGACAGGCGCGTTCACGAGTGAGAGATAAGTCACGTTGGTGTTGTTCCTGCGTTTCAGGGACGAGGATGCACCCGCAAAAATCGAGGACCCTGATGCGCTGAAGCCGGAAGGCTGGCTGGATGAAGAACCGGAGTTTGTCTCCGATCCGAATGCCGACAAACCGGAAGATTGGTGGGTCTGCTCGTCAGCCAGCCTGTAAATCTGGTTTGTTTAGACTAAAACAGACCGATGGTGAGCTGACGCTCTGTGTGCAGGGACGAGGAGATGGATGGAGAGTGGGAGGCCCCGCAGATCCCCAACCCAGCCTGCGAGACGGCTCCTGGCTGTGGGGAGTGGAAGCGCCCCATGGTCAACAACCCTCAGTACAAGGGCAAGTGGAAAGCCCCTCTGGTAGACAATCCAAACTACCAGGTAACAGCAGCTGCTCCTCTAGCCTCTCTGCTGTGAACTCCTCCTGCAGCGGTAGCTAACCGCTCCCTCTGCCTCCTCCTCTCCAGGGAGTCTGGAAGCCGCGTAAGATCAATAACCCGGACTATTTTGAGGACCTGCAGCCCTTCAGGATGACACCGTTCAAAGCCGTGGGTCTGGAGCTGTGGTCCATGACCTCAGACATTTACTTTGACAACTTCATCATCACGTCTCACAAGGAGGTGGCCGACCGCTGGGCGTCTGACAGCTGGGGGCTGAAGAAGCTGGTGGCCAGTTCCAACGAGGTCGGTGTGAAACCAACACATTCTCACACCCAAAGCGTCAAAATATGACGAGTCGGGGCGCGTCAGGAGACGACGATCAGAGACACACTGATGATGTACGCTCTGGGACGGTACGTCATCAGTGTGTCTCTGATCGTCGTCTCCTGACGCGCCCCGACTCGTCATATTTTGACGCTTTGGGTGTGAGAATGTGATGGTGAAACATGCGGACGGGCCGGGAGCAGGAAACGGTAACCAGTCTGATCTGTCGTCCTCTCCCGAAACAGCCAGGGATCCTAGCTCAGATGAGGCTGGCGGCGGAGGAGAGGCCGTGGCTCTGGGTGGTCTACATAATGATCGCTTTTCTGATCATCGGACTGACCGTGCTCTTCTGCTGGCCCAAGGTACCACCAAAACATGGCTGTAGCAGCTCCAGCGCCATCCACCTTAACACGTTACGTTTGTCTCCAGAAATTAGGATACGATTACTCCTATAAGAAGATGGATGCCTCTCGAACGAGCATAGAAGAGGAGCAAGAAGAAGAGGAGGAGGAGGAAGAGGAGGAAGGGGCAGCAGAGGAGGAGGACAAGGCGGCAGAAGGAGGTGCTCCGGGTGCAGGTTTGACATTCTTCTCTGCAACTCATGGGATCGGTGGAGCTCGTGGTCGATGTTTCATTCATATTTATCACTTTTTAAAGCAAAAGAAGACGATGAGGTGGAAGACCATGATGCAGGAGGGGACCACCCTGAAGATGAACAAGAGGAGGAGGAGGAGGAGGATGAAGAAGACGACAGCAAAACTCCAGAGAGAACATTGGGAGATCAGGTTGGTGTTTCTGAAAAACATCCATTTTTGTCCGCTTATCCAGGGTCGGGTCGCGGGGGTGGCAGCCTAAGGAGAGAGGCCCAGACTTCCCTCTCCTCAGCCACTTGGACCAGCTTCTCCAGAGAATCCCAAAGCATTCCCTAGCCAGCTGAGAGCCATAGTCCCTCCAGCGTGTCCTGGGTTTTCCTTTAGGTCTCCTCCCGGTTGGACGTGCCCGGAAAGCCTCACCATGGAGGCGTCCTGACCAGATGCCTGAGTCACCTCAACTGGCTCCTCTCGATGTGGAGGAGCAGCATATCTACTCTGAGCCCCTCCCGGATGAACGAGCATCTCGCTCTATCTCTAATGGAGAGCCCAGCCACCCTGCGGAGGAAGCTCGTTTTTAGCCGCTCGATTGCAACTAACAAAAAAAACTTCATTTGAGGATTTTTCTGTTTTCCTCTTTGATGCCAAAACCAAATCAGACTTGTTCTCTTTTACCCTGTTTGACTCCAACTTCACAGGAACTTTTACTTTCATATTGAGTTTGACGTTTGGTTTAATTAAAGGCTGGTTTCACAGCTGATTAGTCAGATTATCTGGGGGCGGGGCTACCAGAAGTAAATACAGGAAGGAGGTTGTGTGCTTTGATTCTGAGCCCCACCTCGTGTTTTTGAGTCATAGCTGATAAATCTGGTCTTCTGGCCAAAAATCAACGGATCTTGTTGATCGCCCACGTTAGCCCTCGCTCCATTTTCAGCTAGCTAGGAGCTACTGATGCTTTCTCGTATCCCAGAATGCAGCACAGACGCGATCTACCCGATCGTGTTTTGCTCTATAAACAAGCCTCTTCATTTGGACCCGTACAGAGACGCTCTTTTGTTCCACGCCCTAGTGGGATTACCGCTCCAGCAGACCAGAGTTTAGTTTCAGGGAATAAACACGGCAGGTGTTTAAAGAGCAAGTCACCCCCTACCAGAGTCTTTCTCCACTCCCACTTCCTGTTTGAAAAATGCAAAAAATGCTGTTGCCTAGCAGACCGAGAGGGCGGAGCCGCTAACAAATACACACACACACACACAGGCTCACAACGACATTGTGACATCATATGGTACCAGCTAACGTTCTAGGGTACCTCTTAGCCAATAGCGATGGCAGATTTAAATTCTAATGCAGTGCAGAGTTTTTACCTGACAACAGCACAGCACTGACAGTTTTAGGCAGAAAATTAAAATTTTAACTAAAATGCACTAAAGTGCAAAACCATTGACTACATGTGTCTGCAGCACGATTACACGCATTTATATAGTTTCTCTGGGAAAACAAAGTTGATTTGGGGGTGACTTGCTCTTTAAATCTCCACACAGACAGAAATAAGAGTTGTCATAAAAATCTGTAAATGTGGTTCGATCCATTCGGGTTAAATCGGAAGGTTTATCATCACTGGCACTTTCAAATCGTGTTGTGAAGCTGTTGTGCCAGAGTTTAGATTTAAATCCTCTTCGGTTGAACAGCGGTGGAGTTAGGGTTCGGAGTTTATGCTCTCAGCTGCAGATGCACGCCTCCTGGAAGCTTTATTATTCCTGTTCTTTGGTTGCAGAAGGAGGAAGGAGACGCTGCCGAGGAGAGCCACCAACAAGCTGTGAGAAAGAGGAGGGTACGGAAAGACTGAGGAGGTGAAGCTGTCTTCCTCCCTAAAGAGGAAGTGGAACGGCCTCCTTTCCTGACCAGAGCAGAATGATTCCTCCATTTTTTTTCCTGGTAGCCGTCAGTCCACCCCCACAGGTTTCTCCTCCTCCCGTCGGCAAACTCCCTGGACGTTCCAGCTCTCCACGCTTTTCCCAGCCTCCTTCGTTTTCCACCTCGCCGCTCTACGACCCGTCGGCTCGTTTCTCCTCATATCACATGACCGCACTTCAGACGTTAGAAACGCGAGTCCTCGGTCTGAAGATCACATCAGAGGACGAGCTTTGGAGTTTCCAGTACAGGAGAGGACGGCGAGCCGTGAAGGAGGGCGGATCTGAGGCGGAAACACTGCAGTTTTGGGTCAAAAGGTTAAAACAACAAAGGATTTCATTTTTAGGGTTTTAGGGAGTTTGTAAATGAGCAACAGCTACTTCCTTTTATTTACTGTCACAGGTTCTGATGATGTTATTTATTGTTTTAGATTTAACTAAGAAGAAAAGTTTAATATTGAGTGTGTTTGAAAAACTGAGCTCATAGAAGTTTTAGTTTTCATGCCTTGGCCTTCAGTCGTAGAGAGTCGGAGCTCAGCTCCTGGGAACTACGCGGTGTTTTTTGGGCCATTCCCGTCTTTACCGTCGGCCCGGGCCGGGTAGCGTAGGTTGTTTACATATCTGGGTGGCCTGGTATTTTTCCGGGCCAACCAATGGGCCATTCCCATCTGTACCGGGTTGGCCCGGGCCGGGTAGCGCCAGTCGGCCCCAGCCTGGCCCGGCTGATTCCACACATCCTTGCCTTAAGCCCATGTGGGCTGATTCTACCCACCAATCAGAGGCTTGCTCTAATGGAAGGTGTGAATGTGCTGTCAGCAGTGGGTGTGTTGGCCCTGGTCGGCCTGAAGCAGACCCCCTCCAGAAGAGGGCTGAGAATGAGCCTTGGTTGGCCCGGAAAAATACCAGGCCACCCAGATATGTAAACAACCTACGCTACCCGGCCCGGGCCGACCCGGTACAGATGGGAATGGCCCATTAGTTTCTGAAGCTTTTGTAGTTCGCCCTCCTGCCACATGTTGGCGCTGTTCCTCGTTTACATTTGTCTGCTGATTGTACATGGCTCTTGGAAATAAAACTATTTAATACAAAGTGACCCTAAAACGTTTCATGAATGAGGCGGTTTGTGAGAAATTACGTTTATCTCATGTTTTTTTTTACTGTTATAATAAATGTGGTTTATTCAAATAAAATGTGTTGATGTGTTCAGGAAACTGATGACACAAAGTAAACAGCAGAAATGGAGTAAAGTGCCTCGGAGGGGTTGTTGGGCCTTTCAGAAGTTTTTGGTGGGAAGGTAGACACTAGTCGTGAGCTTCCAACTCGCCTGGGAATAAGACTAAAGTAATCGTCCCAGAAAGGCTCCAATATCCAAAACTTAACATTTCCTTCACCGGTGTTTTTGATGCACAATCAATGCATTCCTTAGAATTTGGATGTAGAAATGCAGCCCTTCCGGTGCATCCGGGAGTTTCTGTAAAGCAGATTTGGGAATGTAAAAGTTAATAAAAATAAAGAAATGTGAGCTTCTGTTTTACCCTTTGAACCGGCAGGTTAAAAGCACAATTTAGTCATTCATTCTTTTTGAAGTCTGAGCTTAAATTAACAGGAATATAAACCTACTAAGTGCTCGCCCCGTAATTGGAAGGTTGCAGGTTTAAGTCCTGCTCAGTCTGTCGTTGTGTCCTTGGGCAAGACACTTAACTCCCCTTGCCTGCTGGTGGAGTTCGGAGGGGCAGATGGCACCGGTGTACGGCAGACTCGTCTGTAAGTGCGCCCAAGGGCAGCTGTGGCTACGATGCAGCTCATCACCACCAGGGTATAAGTGTGTGTGTGTAAAGCGCCTTGGGGGTTCCAGGACTCTAGGAGAAGCTATATCAAATACAGGCCATGTACTATTTAAAATAAATCTAAAAAATATGGGTTTTTACGAGGTACTGCTTTAACTCGTAATCCTTACAGCCACAAGTAATAAAAAAAATGCTAAGTAATTGTTATTGTAGCTTTTTTTGGTGCAGAGGTTAAAGGGTTAAAGTCAGACTAGCCGTTAGCTCCTCAGTCCTATAAGCTACCATGACTTTAGCACACAATTCCCTGTTAAAATGCTCCACTTAGTTTGCAGCAGCAGATCTGAGTATTGATCTGATGTTCTCGTCTCGGATCACGTTGAGGATTTCCGAGACACGCCTCCTCTCAGCTGATGGATTTAACAGATCCGTGTTTTCCAGGCAGTAAGTTGGGCTCGTTCCCAGTGAGAGTTGGACTCCGCCAAGGCTGCCCTTTGTCACCGATTCTGTTCATAACCTTTATGGACAGGATTTCTAGTCGCAGCCAAGGTGTGGAGGGCATCCGTTTTGGTGGCCTGAGGATCAGGTCTCTGCTTTTTGCAGATGATGTGGTCCTGTTGGCTTCATCAGAACGTGATCTTCAGCTTTCGCTGGAGCGGTTCGCAGCCTTAGTGTGAAGCAGCTGGGATGAGAATCAGCTCCTCTAAATCTTTGACCATGGTCTTGATTCGGAAAAGGGTAGAACGCCTTCTCCGGGTCAGGGATGAGGTCCTGCCCCAAGTGGAGGAGGTTTAAGTATCTCGGGGTCTTGTTCACGAGTGAGGGAAAACTGGAGCGTGAGATCGATAGGCGGATTGGTGCTGCATCTGCAGTGATGCGGGCGTTGTACCGGTCTGTCGTGGTGAAGAGAGAGCTGAGTCAGAAGGCGAAGCTCTCGATTTACCGGTCGATCTACGTTCCTACCCTCACCTATGGTCATGAGCTTTGGGTAGTGACCGAAAGAACGAGATCACGGATACAAGCGGCCAAAATGAGTTTTCTCCCAAGAGTGGCTGGGCTCTCTCTTCGAGATAGGGTGAGAAGCTCAGCCATCCGGGAGGGGCTCGGAGTAGACCCGCTGCTCCTCCACATTGAGAGGAGCCAGTTGAGGTGGCTCGGGCATCTGGTCAGGATGCCTCCTGGACACCTCCCTGGTGAGGTTTTCCGGGCACGTCCAACCGGGAGACCTAAAGGTAGACCCAGGACACGTTGGAGAGACTATGTCTCTCACCTGGCCAGGGAACGCCTTGGGATTCCCCCGGAGGAGCTGGCCCAAGTGGCTGGGGAGAGGGAAGTCTGGGCCTCTCGCCTTAGGCTGCTGCCCCCGCGACCCGACTCCGGATAAGTGGATGAAAATGGATGGATGGATGTTTTCCAGGCAACACAGACGGATCGATATCACTTAAGGCCTCTTTGCCACTTCTGTTCTTGCACTGAAAGCATCTTTTTTATTTTATTTTCTTTGCTCATTAAGTTTCCCCTCCTCCTGCAGTTAGACAAGCCAGGAATTCAATGACCAATGAGGTTTAGTTCAAATGTAGGAAATATATAAGTCAGAACTCATTTGACTTATTTTGATGCTCTGAGACACTAAATATCGACTTATAAATGTCTGAAAAAAATGTGATGACTTAGTTACATTTTATTAGATATGCAAATATGCAAAACAAACAAATATATATGTAGATCACTCGTACAAGCCAGCTGTGTAGTTTCCATTCTGCATAACACTGTTCAGTTTATCAGATTTAAGTGGAGGAATCCAGCCGAGAAGGATGAGCAGGAGATCCGAGACAAACCCAAGACTCAGATCCGGATTTAAATAAATAAAAACAGTGTTAGAAGATCCAATAGCATTAATGATATTGTAGCGTAATACCAGGGTCACAGAGAAAATAGCGTAATGAACAAAATGTCCACAATAAATTTTCTTAAAACAGAAAAAAAAAACAGCTGAGATTTCATTTACAAACACTTATGTTTATATTTACATTTTTCCTACTGGGGTTACAGAAAACTCACAGATCAGCTGAGAAAACAAACCCCTCTGCATGTCTCCTTTCCTCTCCAGAATCCGGATGGAGGTCGGGTTTCTTCTCAGACTTGATTACTTCCGTTTGCTCTTGGTGTCGGTGGTCTGGAAGACGCTCGAAGCAGACATGAGGTTCTCGATGTACTGACCCAGGACCTGGTTCTCCGACTTCAGCTTCAGGTTCTCCTCCTTGACGGCGTCAACTCGTGCCGACAGGTCTGAAGGAGAGCGGCAACACAGAATTAAAACCCACACGTCTGTTTGTTGCGTCTTTGATTCACTGATGTTGCTTCAAACAGGTTAGAGCTAGCTGGGGTTCATTTGGCGGTTTTCATCCACTGATTTATCTCTAAAAGGTTTGCTCACAAGGTTTTTTTTTCCCCCTCTATCATGAAGGAACAATTAGCACAAAGATTCAAATCTGTGCCTGTTTATGTCAATCAGCTGTTTAATCTCAAATAAAAGTCTGTTCCACTTTTCTTTAGAGGTCAGAACAATTCTTTGCTTTAAGGCCTTGGGTTTTTCTATATAGAAAATAGCAAAAAATAAAAAAATAAAAAAATACAAAAGTGTAGCTGCATCAACACTGGATTGTTTAATATTAGTAATAAAAGCTTGAACTATGGTGTTTGTTACCTTCTAGTGTGTGCTGAAGTTCCAAAACTTGATTTATTAACCTCGTCTTTTCCTCCATCTCCACTTGGTTCTCCAGGTCTCCTAAAACACCCACAGTAACACACATTTAATCTTAGACACTCAAACACCGTGCCACGTGTAGCTAGACATACCATCTATGTCGCAGTTCATGGTGAAAAGGTCGTCCTCCTGTTTAGTATACAGGGCTGCAGATCCGCTGTCAGCTGGAAGTAGAAAACAAAAACATCAAAGTCGAGTAAAAACAGGTGAGAACAGGAAGCTTTTCGGGTGTTGGTTCGTTTTGAAACCACTAAGCTCTGATTTATGAATCAGTGGAGATGAATGGATGATCCAGTGTTGTGTTGAAAACATGTCAGCCTCGTAAACAGAGCGCAGCCGCCTGCCCGTGAGGATGATGGAGACAAACACCGCGCCCACACTGTCCAGAAACTCCCGGCTAATACCAAATATTTCACAACACCACTTCAGTCACGATTTGACCAACAATAAGCACAATCTAACAGTGCGGTGTTCAGGGGACTTAAACGTTACATCTGTCCACTCAGCCAACACAGACTGAAAGGTTTCTGCACCATTTCTCAGCAAAAATTATCCCTACCTGTCCGATAATAGGCGCATGTCCGCTAGCTCTCCGGCTACACACGCTAACGGAGCTACGCTAACTAGTTACAACACATTTAGCAAATCCTACACAAAATGCAACAAAAACACCATCATCCTGTCTGACTCACATTTAGAAGCCACGTTTTAAATAATCGTTTTACATTATCGTTGAACGGGGGAAGCAGATTGAAGAGCTGCTAGCTGTTACGAGCTAATTTTGGCTAAAGCCTAGCTTCAGGTGATTTATTTGAAATGAAATGACTAGGAAACTTTTCTTTAATTCCTCTTGAAATAGCTGAATTTGATGGAAATGTACCCACCTACAGTTAAATAATAATTCCTTTCCGTTAAACGGAGTTTCCCTTTAAACAGAACCGAGTTGAGGAGGAAGAGGAGGGTGTTCGTGACGTATTCTAAAACGTCCTCAAACTGCGCTTCACCATACAAACAGAAGGGGGCGCTAAACAGAGCGCAGACCCAGCAGTGATGGGAATGTGGCTCTTTTTAGAGAGCCGGTTCTTTTGGCTCAGCTCACCAAAAAGAGCCGACTCTTTCGGCTCCCAAGTGGCTCCTCAGATTTTCTGTTGCGTAGAGTACATTTATAACCAAAATAATGCAAGACTATATGTAAAATGATTTACTAATGTAAAAAAAACTGCAAAATATCAAATATTTATCATTTCTATGGATTTATTAACTGAACACTTTAAGAAATCTCCACTTTCCGACTGCTGCCACTCATTTTCTCACCGTCTTCGTCGCTCTCTCTCGCTCGCCTTTTTCCTCCTCCTCATTCCCTCTCGTCTCCCTCCACCCGCATGTGCTCTGCTGTGTGTCTGAGTCTGATCCTCCATCTGCCCCGCCCCTACTGCTCTGTGTGTGGACAGTCCGGACACGCAGTTACACATGGTGACCATTCGCCTGTAGCTTTCACCAAAGCAAGAGGGGAGGGGAGGGGAGGGGACGGCTCCCAATGACGAGCCGGCTCCCGTCGTTCACTTCATAGAGCCGGCTCTTAGAGCCGGTTTGTTCGCGACTGACACATCACTAAGACCCAGGTGTTCGCTGGCCTGCTGCAGCTGAACAGAACCAGCATCATCAGCTCCAAAACAGCTGAGCGTGTTTTGTGTGTCTGTTTATGGAAAAGCGAATTTCTAAATTAATAAGCAGGATATTCATAATTGGAATAAACTTTTTAGATTTAGCCCAAATTGAATTTATGTGAAAGTTGTGCCTATCTTAATTTAGTACGAGGCCAGTCGTCATAGCTAGTCTTGAAGGTTTACCTAAAATATCAATGCCTGTGTGACTTAGGTTTGAACCGTTGTCACATTCCATGACTGTCTTGAATGTCTGGGAGATTTTCTGAAAGCTGGTGAAAAAGCAGAGCCTTGGACCTGAAAAAGTGTGTAAATAATGCACAAACTGTAAGAAATTCAGCATCAAGTCTTCCCACAGACCAGTTGTGTATTGGTGGTAGTATACCTTGGTATGCTGTGGGAGGGTTAACCAAGTTGAGTGGACTTTTCTGTCTCTGCATGAACGGTGTACCATGTAACATTGTATTAAATTGTATTGTATTGCTTTGTGTATAATATCTTATTGTATCAGTTTGAATCACTTGTTTTCTATTGTTTTCTTGATTCCGGAACTGCGCTGCTCTGGGTGGCTGCATGTTGGAGTAGCTCAGTTGACTATATGTAAGTTTTGCCTTTTCTTCAACATTATTTCTTCTAGTTTCTCAAGAAAAACGGTATTTTTTTAGACATTTTACTTTTCTGTTTCTGGTGCTGTGAAGCTTGGACGATTTTTACTACTATTTTTTCACTTTTTTCACTTTTTGAGCATTTGTTATGATGCATAACCATGGCAACAAGCTGGTTTACAATCGGGAGCAGCTGATTAACATTGGAAAGGCTGAAATAATACCTCGGTATTTTTTTGGACATTTATCTTTTCTGTTTCTGGTGCTGTGAAGCTTGGACGATTTTTACTGCTATTTTTTCCACTTTTTTCACTTTTTGAGCATTTGTTATGATGCATAACCATGGCAACAAGCTGGTTTACAATCGGGAGCAGCTGATTAACATTGGAAAGGCTGAAATAATACCTCGGTATTTTTTTGGACATTTATCTTTTCTGTTTCTGGTGCTGTGAAGCTTGGACGATTTTTACTGCTATTTTTTCCACTTTTTTCACTTTTTGAGCATTTGTTATGATGCGTAACCATGGCAACAAGCTGGTTTACAATCGGGAGCAGCTGATTAACATTGGAAAGGCTGAAATAATACCTCAACTAAAGCCACAAATTCCAAATAAGTTAAAACGCAAGAAGCGTGGGTGCAGAGCGGGAGCAAAACGGAGACAGAGAAAGAGGAAATTCAAACCATCTCTTCCATCAGTCATAATGGGCATGGACGTAATTTTCACTTTAGAAGTGCAGGGGACACAGGGGTATCTTTACAGTATGTTCTAATGGGAAACAGGCTTCAACACAAACAGTTGTTTTCCGCTTGGTCCTAGAGCTCAACCAGTGTCAATTTAACTCATTCACTGCCATTGACGACTAAAGTCGTCATTTTAGATCCAATCGTTCACTGCCAATGACGACTAAAGTCTTCATTTGCATTTTCTTACTGTTTGAGCATCAGAACGAGCCCCCGCGCTGAGAGAACAAACATCTCAGCCCTGAAGCCGATCTTCATCTGCATACGTCACACGTCACATGATCAGGAAGCAGACATCCATGTATTAGGAGATTGTTTTGGGCCGTTCCTGTAAAAAAAAGTGCAGGTAGCGGCACGGCGGCTGCTTTACATAGCGACTCGTTGCATTCTCCCTCCACCCAAATCCTTGGATCATGCATTTTAGCTAAAACGCTAACGTTAGCTTGCCTTGCGTTGACTGTAGAGTTGTGGGTGATGGTCACGCAGGTGTGTCATGAGATCTGAAGCGTTGCTGCCTTTCACAGACACTTTTTCTGCACGTGCTGCAAACAGGATAGCCGTCTTCTATCAACTGTCCCTCGGCATTCTTCAAATATCCAAAAGATGCCCGTACTTCCGACTTTGTCTTCTTTGAGGGATAAAAAATGTCCTCCTGAGCGCTGCCGTCTCCTCCTTTGGCCATTATTTCAGCTTTAGCTTCAAGAAAGTTTTGGTTGTAAACAACAAAGCGCGCATGTGCCGCCGGCAACTTCAGCAGATGATACGGCTGGTAAGGGTTACCGCGCCTACACCGCAGCCACGGTAATCCACCGAGATAATATAGTTTTTTTTTTAAACAAGACGGTTATTATTATTGTCAACTTTTGTACCGGGGTTTACCCGCTACACCGTTACCATGACAACCCTACATTTAACACAATCCAGCCTGATGTACTTTGCCAGAAACTCCAGAAGACACAGGTGGGGCCTCAACTATCGCCTGGATTAAAGACTACCTGACAAACAGACCACAGTTTGTGAGGCTGAAGAACTGCACATCAAACCAGGTGATCAGTAGCATTGGAGCACCACAGGGGACTGTACTCTCACCATTCCTTTTCACCCTGCACACCTCAGACTTCCAGTACAAATCAGAGACCTGTCATCTACAGAAATACTCAGATGACTCTGCAGTTGTCGGGTGTATCAGAGATGGACAGGAAGCTGAGTACAGAGAGCTGGTGGAGCGCGTTGTGGCATGGTGTGGAAACAATCATCTGACCTTGAACGTGAACAAAACAAAGGAGATGATTTTAGACTTCAGAAGAAACAGGGTGGAGTCAAACACTGTTTCCATCATGGGATAAGAAGTGGAGGTGGTTGAGGAATACAAATACCTTGGAGTTCACCTGGACAACAGACTGGACTGGAGAAAGAACAGTGAAGCCGTTTACAAGAAGGGACACAGCAGACTGCACTTCTTGAGGACGCTAAGGTCCTTCAATGTCTGTAGCAAGATGCTGCAGATCTTCTACAAGTCTGTTGTTGAGAGTGTAATCTCTTCAGCCATCGTCTGTTGGGGTAGCAGCATCAGAAGCAGGGACCTGAAAAGGCTCAACAGCCTAATAACAAAGGCTGGTTCTGTTCTGGGGATGACTGTGGAACCGCTGGAGGAGATAATGCAAAGAAGGATTCTCCAGAGAATCAAGAACATGATGGACAACCCTGAGCATTCTCTTCACAAGACTGTCCGACAACGGAAGAGTGTCTTCAGTCAGAGGCGTCTTCAGTTTGGGTGCAACACTGACCGCTACTGGAGATCCTTCCTGCCAACAGCCGTTGTAATATACAACACCTCTTTGATGACTTGATTATTATTATTATTCTGAGCTACTACAGCAATCAGTTTCCCTCTGGGATTAATAAAGTATTTTTAAATTTAATTTAATTATATATTGTTATACACATGTAATACAGAAAACATCCATATTTGACACATATGTATGTATGTTATACTCAGTAAAGGTTGGTTTATGCTTGACGCGTCTGCGAGGTTCGCACGGCTCCGCGCGGCGAAATTGCGTCATTTTAACAACCACGCCCCTCCACCGCGTCTCCGCACGGCCCAAAATTTCCGCAACGCGCACCTAGAAAAATGTTCTAACCACGTGGACGGTCGGATGCGGAAAAACATGGCGGACCGGCAAGAACTAGTATGGCAGAGGTTGGTAAATACAGACATTTGTATGATTCAGCTCTCAGAGATCACCGTGATCAACATGTTGTTAATAATTCTTGGAGAGAAATAGCTCGCACTGTCGGAAAAGACGAGGACGCTGTTAAAAATGCTGGAATGCCATGTTGTAAACAACAGTTTTTACTTCTACTATCATGTAATGTTGGATGCATGCCGTAGATCTCCACGCTGCCCCATTCAGTTTGGGAGGATATTGGCTCACCGCAGAGACGAGCCGCACAAACCACAAACGTCGCAAGTTTTGAAGCACGTTCCATCCGCGACCCGCATCACCAAGCGGAAAGTGAATGCGTCAAGCATAAACCAAGCTTAATGCCTCTGCACCTGGGGCCAGCGGGGCCAGGCCCCACCAGATGGCGCTGTGGTGCTCTATCATTGCTTACAATAGTCAGTGGAATAGAATGGTTTGTTTTAGAGTAATATTTTTTAAAACCCCATACTTTCACCAAGAAGACTCTGTTGTAAAGATTTGTGGGTTTATATATGTGTTTCAAAGTTTTTGCCAATATACTGACAAGCTCAGCCTCTGTCAGTGCGCCCCAGGGCAGCTGTGGCTACATCGTAGCTCATCACCATCAGTGTGTGAATGTGTGTGTGAATGGATGAATGATACACTGTAGTGTAAAGCACTTTGGAGTCCTTACTCTGAGAGGCGCTATACAAGTGCGGGTCATTCATCATTTATCATTTAAATCCCCATAAAAAAACAGAGATGGGGCCGTTGTTGTGCCGGCCCATCAGCGTCCGTTTTAAACACAGGAGATCTGAAATTAAAGTGTGCATGATCAACTCATTCTCAGTGGTAAGCCATAGGGCCCAGAGACTCCAGCCCCAAGCTCAGATCATCCAATCACTATATGAGAAAAGCACACATTAGCTTATGTTTCTGTTCTGTGGTACAACTATGTTGGTTGTGCTTGTTAGCTAACTTAAAACAACAGAAAATTGAAGAGAACTTTGCTACTTAAACAAAAGTTAGGGATTAAACCAGACGCCTTTAATTAATTTTATCAAAGGGCAACACTGGCACTCGTTAAGCTCAACGTTCAACAACTGAACAACACTTGTGAGTGACGCTATTTTGCTATTTTACATGGTTCATTTAACACAAATGTGTGTGAACTTTGTTATTGTGTGTGCACGTGTGTGCTGTTGTTGCACCCAGCTAACTTATCATGTCAAATAAATCACTGGTTACAATCATATGCATACACTGTACATGTGTTAAACACATACATATGTTATACACAATACTTGTGTTATATATGTCATAAACATGGTATACTCATTTACATGTGTTGTATATAATACATGTGTTGTACATATGTTAAACACCATACATATGTTATACGAGTGTGTTGGCGAGTGTAACCATTGGGTCGCTGGTCAGCTAATTAGGGGATGGGCTGACGCGCCATCAGAGCATTCCAGTCCAGGTTTCGATCAAAGTGACTTTATTGGTTGTTCAAAATATTTCCTTCAGTCAGCGTTCACAGGCACACACAAACAGAGAAACGTACAGATCCACAAAGTAGAGTGAATAATTCATGGAAAAAATCATTTGAGCGGTCAGCAAAAGTTGACTTCCCCTATCACCTGCTCATTATAACAGACTTCCCGCGCAGGTGCGCAACAGGTAAATAACAATCGATAGACACCACGTGATCCGAGACTACTCCTATCCATCACAGTATGTTAGACACAATACTTGTGTTATACATGTTTTTCTTGTTTACACGTGTTGTACATAATACATGTGTTGTATAAATACATGTGTTGTACATATGTTTAACACATACACATGTGTTATTCATGTGATGCACATGTGTTGAACACATATTCGAGTGTCATAATTGTGTTATAGACTATACCTGTTTTATATGTGTGTTATACACAATACTTGTGTTATACATGTTATGCTTGTTTACATATGTGTTGTACTGTGTTAAACACATATACATGTGTAATTAATGTGTTATACATGTGTTGAACACATATGCTATGTAATAACTGGGTTATAGACCATACTTATGTTTTATGTATGTTATAAACAATACTTGTATTATACGTGTTATACCCGAGTTAAACACATTTACATATGTTGTACATGTGTTACACATGTAGTCTACATAATATTTGTGTTATACATGTAATACATGTGGTATACCCATATACATGTGTTTTACATATTATACTAGTATTGTACACATTTACTTGTGTTGTACATGTGTTTCACACAATACTTGTGTTATATATCGCCGCCTCTCCCGACTCCAACCAGGCCCATCATCCTAGATAGCTTTGCTCCTGTTTCTTTGCCTGAGTTAACCAAACTAGTTAACTCTATGAAGACCTCTGCATGCCCCCTCGATCGGTCCCAGCATGCTCTCTATAACTAATGCTTCTCTGGTCTCTGGTCAGGTCCCTGCCTACTTTAAGAACGCTGTAATCCACCCGCTTCTTAAAACACCGAGTCTCGACCCCTCTCTCCATAGCAGCTTCAGACCCATCTCTAAACTTCCGTTCATCTCCAAGATCTTGGAAAAGGTTGTGGCTAAACAACTCACAGCTGCTCTTGATGAACAGAACATCTATGATAGCTTCCATTCAGGTTTTCGTAGAGCTCATTCTACTGAAACAGCTCTTCTTAGGGTCTCTAATGACCTTCTGACCCACAGTGATGCAGGGGACGGTTCTGTTCTGGTCCTGCTGGACCTGACTGCAGCCTTTGACACTGTTGACCATCACCTGCTACTGGAGAGGCTGAGAGACTGGGTAGGCCTATCAGGATCTGCTCTGGAGTGGTTCTCCTCTTATCTCTCTGAGCGCTCCTTTTCTGTGGCAGTCTCCAAGTTTAGGTCCTCCACCACCTCCCTTAGCGATGGTGTCCCACAAGGTTCTGTGCTGGGGCCTCTGCTCTTCCTCCTCTATCTGCTTCCTCTCAGCACATCCTGAGCTCCTTCAAAGGAATCTCCTACCATCTTTATGCAGATGACATCCAGCTGTACATCTCCTTTAAGCCCCATGAGATGTCTAAGCTGCAGCTGTTACACACCTGCTTAGACTCTATCAAAACCTGGATGGTGGGAGCTTTCTTCAGCTGAATGAAGATAAAACTGAGATCCTCATCTGTGCCCCAGACAAGCTGGTTCCCAAAGTCAGAGACTCTCTTGGTCAGCTTGCTTCTCACACCAAACCTTCTGTCAGGAATCTTGGCGTGACCTTTGACCCAGCTCTCACCCTGGATTCTCATGTCAGTTCTCTTGTTGGCTCTTCCTTCCTCCATCTCAGGAACGTTGCTAAGCTGAGTCCCATTCTGTCCCGCTCTGAACTTGAGACAGTTCTCCACACCTTCATCTCCTCACGCTTAGACTACTGTAACTCTCTTTTCACGTGTCTGAGCAGAACCTCCCTGAACCGTCTACAGGTGGTTCAGAATGCCTGTGCTCGGCTTCTGACAAAGTCCTCCAAACACACCCACATCACCCCGCTTCTCCTCCAGCTTCACTGGCTGCCAGTCAACTTCAGGGTTCATTTCAAGATCCTGGTTCTGGTCTATAGGGCCTTACATGGACAAGCACCATCTTACATTGGTGATCTTCTTAGTCCCTACACCCCCAGCAGGTCCCTGAGGTCCAGTGATCAAAGCCTACTGGTTGTGCAGCACCAGGCTAAAGGTCAAAGGTGACAGATCATCTGCTGCTGTGGCCAAAAGACTCTGGACCTCTCTCCCCCTGAGCCTGAGATCAGTGGACTCAGTGGTCTCCTTTAAAAAGCAGCTGAAGACTCACTTGTTCAAGCTGGCTTTTGTATGACCTCCTTCACCTCTCTCTCTTTATTCTGCTCTCCCCACCTATTCCACCTTCCTCAGGATCCACTGGTTTCCCTCTTTCCTGTTCACTCTCTCTTTCTTAACTTTTTAAAATCACAGTTGTGTATTTTTTGCTCATTTTAAATATATTTTTAACCATTTTCTAAATTGTTTTTTTTTAATATTTTAACATTTTTTGTTTTTGTGAAGCGCCTCGTGATTTTTATCTTGAGAGGCGCTATAGAAATGATATTTTCTTCTTCTTCTATATATGTCATGCATACTGTTTCATATCGTATTGCATCATGCTGTATTGAACTGAATCATCTTATTGTTTTGAATCATCCCGTTATTGTTTTTATTTCTTATTATAAGCATGTGTTTTTTTTACCAGTAACACAGGAAACGCAGACATGAGATCTCCTAGACACTCAACATAGAAAGTTTACTTGAAAGAAAAACTTAAAGCTTGTTAGACGACTCTGCTTTAAGTCACCGTTGATTAGTTTTCCATCAATCAGCTGACTGTCACATTTAATTCCAGTTTAGTCCAAAGTGATAAAAGCACACAGAAGCTGGCCTAATAAAACTGGAACAGCAACCTGAAGGATCAAACTTGTAATAATCTTACAAACATGCCGCCAACACTCAACAATTCCTGAGAAAACGATTTTGTCTGTTTTAAAAGACCTGATTTAGATGTTCAGACTATCAGGCTGTTTTTTTCCTCTGGACTAAAGAAAAGCTGCAGTACCTGAGTCACCGGCCAGAGAGATGGTTGTAAAAGTTCCATCGTCTTCGTCCACCCCGGCTTCCAGGGCCCAAGTCTCTTTGTCCTCCAGAATGAACTCTTTTTGTTTCACTCAGGCATTCATCTAAATCTGATGTTTCCAGAGTTTTTTGTCTTTATTCCCTTTTACTCACGCACCTGCTGCTGCTCGAATCATCGTCACGCTTACCTGCTCTACCTGACTGGCAGCTCAGGTTACATTGCTGTCATGGGAATGGGTCACCATGGCAACCCCTGCAAAAAGAAAAAAAAATAAACCTGGAGGCAGGCTGGTCTACAGGAAAAATACCAAGGGTCAAAGATTAAACTCTAGTAAGCTGATGTGAAAACGAGCCTTAAAGACGACACACAAACATGCACTCAAACACTTGACATTAAGGGAGCTGTTAGTGAGCGCCGTGTAAACAGCCTGCAGCTCAGGATGGGATGGATCTGAGCTGGTTGTTTGCCTAGACGTTTAGGAGTGTTTTTTTTTACCTGTTCAAACTGAAGGCTGCAGTGTTGCACTAAAGACAGCTGCCTCAGACGTGTGGGAGCAGGCTGCACTCTGCTGGTTCAAACTGAACTCTGCAGAAGTTTCATCTGAGGCCGAGCTGCAGCAACGGTTCACAGGAAGACTTCACGAGTCAAAGCAGCATGGCTTTATTGGGTTTAGAGACAAATAAATCTGTTTTATTCTATTTGTAGACAGATCTGTTCAGGAAAACCATCCAACAGCAGCCCTTACAAACGCAGAACCAGAGCAAAGAACTAGTCACCCTACTTCCTTCAGGTGGAACAAGGAGTAGCCTCAAAACCCAGACAAAAGGACTGGGGAACATTTTCTAACTCGGGGCTGGGAAACTGTTGAACTCTGACCTCTTCAGCTGTTCTCTACACTTTTCTGCTATATTATTTTACTTTATGAAAGAGGCCCTTCACTCAGATTTTTAATAAATTTGCAGTAGTCTATAGAAATAAATGCCTTGTAAGTCATACTCTGGAGAAAAAAAAGCACTGGTGCACCTGTTTGAGGAACTAGAAGTGAGCCAGGTCAGAACTGAGCTGAACAAGGCAAGACTTGGGGTCGTATTTCCTGATATTTGGACATCTCACCTCTGATTGGATAACAGCAATTCAACACTGCCATTGCTTTGCAAAAGCCTGGAAGAGTTCTGCTGTGTGGTGGATTTGCTAATGCTAACAGCTACCTCCTACTAGCCGAGGTGTTCTCTGCTGTTTTCTGGACTGTAAACCAACAACAGCCTTCCCCGTCGTGAGTCAAGATGGGTGAATTCATGAATGTTAGTCGACAGTGTGACGTAGATCTGTCAGGCTTTACTAAGCCTAGAGATTCACCATCTATTTTCCATCAGAAGCAGGTGCAGGAGACAGGTGCAGGAGACTATTTTCATGTTCAGCTTGAATGTTAAAATCAGAGTGACTTTGAGTTATAACAAAAAGTAAATGTATTTAACATCATTCTACAGAAGTTTGTTTTCTGTAAAACGTGTTATTTAAGCCATTTATCTTATATCACCTATTACTAATTTAGATGAAAGAAAGATTATTTTTAAACCTGGATCTCCTGACTAACTTGCTAAAAGCATAGAAAGAATCAAATGATCTTTTTAAAAATACAGGAAAAGAAAGATTCCCTAATGAAATAATTAAAGTCCCATTGGCAATAACAACACAAATGTAAATATTAGTATTTTATTTTGTACTTAACATTTTATTTTAGTCCCTTGAGTTAAAATCTCTTTTTCAAGTAGGACCTAGAGCACATATGTCAGACTCAAGGCCCGTGGGCCAGATGCGGCCCGCGGAGCATTTTTATGTGGCCCGCGAGATAAATATCAAATATATATTAAAACTGGCCCGCTGCCCGATTTTACCGCAAAGACTTCAACTCCCATGCTGCTTTGTGGCGTCAGCGCGGAGCCGACGCACCCCCTCCTTTGTGTTTTTTCCAGCGCCTTCTGCCGGTGTCTGCAGCTCCGCTGTCTCGGACAAACTAAACTCCTCTCACTCAGCGCCGAGTTCACTCAGCTGTTTTCTGACGTTGAAGCCCTGAAACGGAGATTCTAGCTGCTCAGTAATGTGTTCACGACTGAAAGAGAAAGTTTTCCAGCTAACGTCCAGACAGAGCTGATATAACTCCAGCGAGCAGCGACACGCTCAAACCAGCACGACTCTGTGGTCGCTGTCGTTGTGTTTCCTCCCCGACACACAACAACGTGGTCAAGCTGCTCAGACATGTTCAGCAGCACAAACCTATGTGAGCACCTGTTGTCATCTAATGTTGTCATTATTATGATGAAGATGAACAAAACAACAGGAGCCTCCTCCTCAGCTCAGCTCAACCCCATGATGCAGGTATCTGGCTGGAACAGGTGAGCATCACAGTAAACCAGTGGAGCAAACTGAGCTTTAAATATTTAGGTTTTATGCTCTTTTTCTGCTCCAAAACATGAAAGTTAACAGGTGAGATGTTGCATTTTCATTTAAGATCAAATTATATTTTTATTTTGTTGTTGGCCCGTGAGAAAAGATTTAAAAGATTTAAAGATTTAAAAGATTTTAAAAATGCTGATTATACCACAAGTAATGAACACCACTGATGCCTTTTATTTAAAACGGACTTGCTCGTGTGTAATTCGGTTATTCCACATTCAGTGTTAATGCAGAAATAAGTTTGTTTCCAAATTTAAAGGTTCAAAATTGCATACATGTTGATAAAAAAAATGTGCAAATTTGCCGTCACTTTTTAAAAAAATATTAAGTTTGGCCCTCGACTCCGTCCCAGAGTTTCATTTCGGCCCTTGTGAGTTTGAGTTTGACACCCCTGCTCTAGAGGCTCACCAGTACTTAATAACTAAAAGGAAAAACAATTAAAATATGAAATTCACATAAAAAGAACTAAATATTAATTATAAATAATATTAAAGGTGGGGTGAAGGATGTTTTTTCTGCTGCATTTTTGCCTTATTTCTTGAAATGCTTTTCACAAAGTGGTGGCAACCACAGACGTAAATGTATAGTCAGAAAATGAAAATTTTTAATCACCTCTAAAAAGTACAATTCTGGAAAATCCTCAATCCAATAATGGAGCAGCTCTAAATGACTTAATCCTGATCCACCACCAAAACCCAGCTATGTGCATGCGTCACACACACCTTTGGCTCAGAGCAGCTGAACAGGAAGTGAAGGCAGAGCCAGGCGACCCATAGCCAGCATACTAAATTGTTATATGGTTACAAAGGTATGTTACATTAAAAATGATGGCAGAAATGAGGCCGGCGACAGATAAAATATGTAAGAATGAATAATAAAAACTCATTGCTGGTGCTTTGAACAGTCTGGTCTTCCATGAGGGAGCTTTCACACCTGTTGGGCCACTCTGGTTGGGTGTGTCAACTCCCCGGTGTGATAACTCTTTGGTACTTTCCTGTATGAAAAAAAAGTTAATCGTAAAGAAAACAAATCATTACTCTTGTGAAATCCAACACGCTCGACTCCAAATGGAGAGCACCTAAGATACTTCCTTCAAACTTTACAGGGAGTGCAGAATTATTAGTTAAGTTGAATTTTTGAGGAATAATTTTATTATTGAACAACAACCGTGTTCTCAATGAACCCAAACAACTCATTAATATCAAAGCTGAATGTTTTTGGAAGTAGTTTTTAGTTTGTTTGTAGTTTTAGCTATTTAAGGGGGATATCTGTGTGTGCAGGTGACTATTACTGTGCATAATTATTAGGCAACTTAACAAAAAACAAATATATACCCATTTCAATTATTTATTTTTACCAGTGAAACCAATATAACATCTCCACATTCCCAAAAATACATTTCTGACATTCAAAAACAATACAAAAACAAATCAGCGACCAATATAGCACCTTTCTTTGCAAGGACACTCAAAAGCCTGCCATCCATGGATGCTGTCAGTGTTTTGATCTGTTCACCATCAACATTGCGTGCAGCAGCAACCACAGCCTCCCAGACACGGTTCAGAGAGGTGTACCGTTTTCCCTCCTTGTAAATCTCACATGTGATGATGGACCACAGGTTCTCAATGGGGTTCAGATCAGGTGAACAAGGAGGCCATGTCATTAGTTTTTCTTCTTTGATACCCTTTCTTGCCAGCCACGCTGTGGAGTACTTGGACGCGTGTGATGGAGCGTTGTCCTGCATGACCATCATGTTTTTCTTGAAGGATGCAGACTTCTTCCTGTACCACTGCATGAAGAAAGTGTCTTCCAGAAACTGGCAGTAGGACTGGGAGTTGAGCTTGACTCCATCCTCAACCCGAAAAGGCCCCACAAGCTCATCTTTGATGATACCAGCCCAAACCAGTACTCCACCTCCACCTTGCTGGCTTCTGAGTGGGACTGGAGCTCTCTGCCCTTTACCAGTCCAGCCACGGGCCCGTCCATCTGGCCCATCAAGACTCACTCTCATTTCATCAGTCCATAAAACCTTAGAAAAACCAGTCTTGAGGTATTTCTTGGCCCAGTCTTGACGTTTCAGCTTGTGTGTCTTGTTCAGTGGTGGTCGTCTTTCAGCCTTTCTTACCTTGGCCATGTCTCTGAGTATTGCACACCTTGTGCTTTTGGGCACTCCAGTGATGTTGCAGCTCTGAAATATGGCCAAACTGGTGGCAAGTGGCATCTTGGCAGCTGCACGCTTGGGCAGTTCATGGGCAGTTATTTTGCGCCTTGGTTTGTCCACACGCTTCTTGCGACCCTGTTGACTATTTTGAATGAAACGCTTGATTGTTCGAGGGTTAGGGTTAGGGTTAAACCCTAACCCTAACCCTAACACTATGATCACGCTTCAGAAGCTTTGCAATTTTAAGACTGCTGCATCCCTCTGCAAGATATCTCACTATGTTTGACCTTTCTGAGCCTGTCAAGTCCTTCTTTTGACCCATTTTGCCAAAGGAAAGGAAGTTGCCTAATAATTATGCACACCTGATATAGGGTGTTGATGTCATTAGACCACACCCCTTCTCATTACAGAGATGCACATCACCTAATATGCTTAATTGGTAGTAGGTGTTTGAGCCTATACAGCTTGGAGTAAGACAACATGCATGAAGAGGATGATGTGGACAAAATACTCATTTGCCTAATAATTCTGCACTCCCTGTATTTATCC